TGAAATGGATAATGGAATCGGAGGCTATGCAAAAGGGAGGGAAATGTTAATGGTTTAACCAAGATGGTAGGGAATGTACTAACAAGACCCACCTGCTAACCTGGCTGGACCCAGTCACCTAGACGGTTGGGTATCGAGTTTACACGTGTCTGTGAAATTGGCTATGCTAGCTGCCTGTCTTTGTCGTATTTTGTATTTAAGAAGGTGTTTTGCTATGTATATATCGGGGTTGAAATCCAGGTGTACAGTCCCTCTCACAATTGGGGGGCTAGTGTTTACGATTTTTTTATTGGGTATGGACCCCCTATTGTGAGGGGGTTATAAACGAGGGTGTCAACTTTAAAGTGGGCATTCCTAAAATCTCATTGTAGACGGATCTACTATCAATAATCAGAAAAATTATATACCCTTGGGAATACAGTTGGTTTTTCTCCAAGTTCTATCGCCAGAATGATCTGTCAGCATGGGACTAAACTATCTTTAGTAAACCACAAAGAGGATCATGCATTGATGTCCAAGCGTAATCAACTTGCATTTGATCAAATGTGTTTCAAAATAAAAATTCACAAAGCTCTTATTAACCATGAGCATACGTTTGAGACCGTTATGGGCAATTATTGCTCGTATGACGAAGGCATTATAAGGGGGATAAAATTTATCGCGGGCGGACCCAGCACCCGGCGAGGGGGGGCGGCCGCCCATGCTGGATCCGTCAGAGTCTTCAATACCACCGGTCGCCGGGTTACTGTTACAGAGAGAAGATGGGAAGAAAAATGGAAGAAGAAGACCATTATTTTGCAATTTGGGCCATCTTTTTTTTGCCCTTTGGCTTTGGGCTAAGAGAGTTGGGCCTTTTTTTTAAAAAATTAGGCCCAATAAAAATTAGGTTGTGGCAAGATGCAGATAACAAAATGCTACTGTCTAATTTACTGAAGAAGAATTCATTGCGGGTTGAATTCCTTGTTGCTTTAATTTTCCTTCCTTTTCTCTTGTTTCTGTTTGGGGTTTCTCGTTTATGAGAAAATGTGAGAATGCACATGTAAACTAAAAGGAAAACAACATGGTTTCTGTTGAAGGTTTTTCATGGGGGGGATTTTAATGCTTACTGCAAAGAAGAGTTTTTTAGTGTATAAATTGAGGAATGACTGAATGAGTTTGATTGCTTTCTATTTAACCCTTTAATTGGGTGATATGGATGCTAAATGAGGCTAATATAAGTACCCACCCTTGCTCGCATTTTAGAAAATAGTGGATTTTAACTACACTTGCAGCTATGTTTGGAATGATATAAACTATTTTCTATGCTCTTTTATGCCTCAGTGATTGAAGGTGTTTACAGTTAACGATCAACATTCGGTCAGCCAGTACTGAACTTTTGTGTTGGGTCCGCCACTGGGATAAATGACTCCATACTCATCATCATCGTTAAACATAATTGAACAAGATATACTTTTAGAATTAACTCGAACCTAATAGCTTCTCGGTGCACTCATGTCGGCAGCTCGATCGTGATTCCTTTATGCATTCATTGTTTTCCCGCCCATGTAAGGTCTGTTGATAATAGTATTGATCTCCCTTATCGGTGGTTTCTGGTTTGCAATGTCTACATGTGCTCGATGTTCATTGAAATTATTGTACCGCAAGTGCACAAGTCGTGTTCAAATAATAAAGTGGATTGTGAGTTCGAGTCAATCTCTCGATAAATGTTTACTTTTAATTACATTACTCTAATCATTTTAATTCTAACAATTAAAGAAAAACGCAATGTGGATTTAAATTTTGAAAATAAAAGAAAAAAAAAATTCAATTCAATTCAAAACAAACCACATTACAAATTTAGGAAGGCTTTTATGATTAAATAGTTGGGATTCATAATTCTACTTAATTGTCGCTTATTTAATTTCTCGACATGCACATTAATAAATTACCCATTAAACATGTTAAACCCAATTTTCCAATTTAGTCAATTACTTCTCTTGAGTGAAAGTAATCATAATCAATTGGTTTAATCTAATATATTTTTATGTCGATTTAAACCCAAAAATAGTATTAAATCTTAGTAAAAATAGTTCAATGGATCACTTAAGATTATGGGTATATCTTTATTCCCTACAAGAACTAGGGCATTTACCTACGATATTATGGCCCTGTTTGGGAGGGATTAGATTTTTCTACAGTAAATCAATTCTCATTTTCAACCACACATTTTTCAATAAAATAATATTTTCCATCACATCAATAATTTTTTCTTCTTTTTCCACCACACATTTCCCATCAT